TACAAAGAAAGCAATGCACTTTTACCAGGATTCATTCTCCAAGATGATTACTCTGAAAGGGCTGTAAACTTTGGTCCATCTACACTTGAGCACCTGTTGTACTTTGTCGGGCCGGTTAACGTCGCCAATAATGTGAAGAGGATTCGATGGTGCAGAGGGCTTCTTCTGTACTTGCGTCCTCAGCCTCAGCAAAACTTCCCGAGGTGAGGACACAGAGCGAAATACCAGAGCGCAAGTCAAGATGATTATTGACAGATTCCGATGCACGAGTGGGATAAAGATAAAGAGAAGACTGCATTTGCTGCGCCTAGATGGGCTCTTTGAATTTAATGTGATGTCTTTTGGTCAATGCAACGCCCCAGCTACATTCAAATGAGCGGCAGACACGGTACTGCGTGGATCAAAAGGAAACACCTGCCTTTGCTCCTTGGCCGACATTGTCATCTTTTCGTCCAGCTCCTCACAGCACGTAAAACGGCTAGACCAAGTTCCAACGTGTCTAGCTAAGGCCTGTCTCCAGCTCAACACTAAGAAGTGTCGATTTGCCAGTCACAGTATCAAGGTATTAGTCGCATCATCAGCAAACATGGTGTTGAACCCGATACCGACAAGGTTGCCGCGGTACTGCACTTTCCTACAGCCAACCACACCCAAAAACCTCTGCAGCCTTCTTGGCTTAGTGTCGTACTTCCGCTGCTTTGTGCGTGATTTTGCCACAATCGCCGTTCCTCTGCACGAACTTCTGGCCACGAGCACACCCTTTGTCTGGTCAGATGACTTCGAAACTGCTTCTCACACTCTGAAGCGGTGTCTCACATCAAGGCCAGTGCTCCGCCGTTTCGACACTACAGCACCTACTGTGTTACACACTAACACAAGTGGACTTGGCATTGGTGCTGTCTTTCTTCAGTGGAACCACGCTTCCGAAAAACAAGTCGTCGTCTACGCAAGCTGTACTCTTTCAGCTGCTTAGCGAAATTACACCATCACTAAACAAGAATGCCTCACCATCCTGTGGTCTATACAAAAGTTTCACCCCTACTTATACAGCCAACATTTCACAGTCGTGACTGACAATCATTCTCTGTATTGATTATCAACTCTCAAGAAATTGTCAGCACGCTTTGACCGTTGGGTGCTACATTTACAGGAGTATTACTAGAGCGTCGCATATAGATCAGGTCGGCAACACTTAAATGCCGACGCTTTGTCACGTTGCCCACTCTTGCCAAGTGCCTAATTGTCACCTGCCATCTGTTCATCACTGACCAGCCAAGTTACGAGGGACAAGGCTATTGGTTTGAAAAAGTTTTTTGCTTTGGCGGACCTTTTTTTATCCACAGATCTTGCATTACTCCAACATGCATATCGATACTGCCGCACAATCATCAATTAGCTCACTGGCATATCCTGGGCTCCAAACAGCCACTTAAGATGACAGCTTGCACGTTTAAAACTTCAAGAAGGAATGTTTTGTCAACAAATTTACCATCCTCTGTGTAACCAACAGGTTCCGGTCGTCCCTCGCTCACTTCGGCTCTAGGTGTTTGAAGCGTTTCATGCTGATGCGACAGCGGGCCACTTAGGTTTTCACAAGACCACATCAAGACTCGCTGCTTCTGGCCTAGCTCTTCCACATGTGCGGCCAAGTAGGTCGGTTCGTGTGCGATATGCCAGCACCAAAAACGTATGTCTCCTCCAGCAAGGTGCCTGCCATCTCCGCAGTGTTTGTCCACCCCTTTGAATTCGTGGCATATACTTACACAGACAATTCTGCCCACCGGTCACAGTTGGATTTGAGAAGTACTGCTGACTGGGTGAGTTGGTGCATGATACCGTTGGATTGTTACTGGCGTCTACCGCCTTACTTGCTATGTGGAGACGGCAGCTCTTTTCTCTGGTGCTAACTCTGAAGTGGCTGATTTTATCCTGCGTCCCATTATCTTGCGCCAACCGTTCCGCCTAAGTGACCATGGTAAGACATTTCTTTGCTGAAATCCTCCAGGCCTCTAACACCACCCACAAGACTACATCAGCCTACCATGCGAAAACGAATGGCTTACCAAAGTGTTTTCACTGAACTTTGTCAGACATGATCTCCATGTATCTTCAACAAGATCACAAAAACTGGGACACTACACTTCCTTTGTCACATCCGCCCACAATACTGCCATACAACGTATTACAGCCTATTTTCCCTCAGTGTATGGCCAAAAGTTGACAGACTTTAATTCTGGGCACCATCTTTTTGTCCACATCCTCTGTTCCATCTTCGTCTCACCTAGAAGAGTTCGCTGCTCGCGTCGCCCTGTTGCCAGTGAAATAGCCCGTGCCGACACTGCTACTATTCAGAACAAGAGAAAGGTCACTATTGATCCAAAACGTCGAGTTGTAACATTCTGGCCCTGACGACGAATTACTTCAGTGGACACCTGTTCGTGCACTTGGGCTTTGTGAAAAATTCCTTCACAGATATCTCGGTCCATGAACCGTGCTGGATTATCTGATGTAAACCATCGAGTCACTCATGTCAGCGCGGCTCCTGATGGGCGTCGCCGCAGCATCAAGATGGCTCATGTATCTCGCCTGAAACAACATATTCCGTGTTCCCACTCTTTCCGACTTGCTGCGCTGCCTGCTTTTGCAAAGGGGCGGGGGAGGGGCGAATAGTGTGAGCACTGACTATTTGCTTTATGATCTTCATCTGTACCCAAAACCAGTGTATTTATCATCATTGTTAGGTACACGGGCTGTGCTGCTTGTGCCTTGCACGACTGCATTAAAATCTGGCTACTGTCGTACCAGTCGTCGTCTTATAAAGTGCATATATATTACACACACAAGACATTCGTTTGGTGCACACGGTGTCGGCCTTGTGTACATTCGAGGAAGCAGCTAAAAGCAATATTTCCAGCTGTGATAAACAAAGCGTTTTGGAGTATATATACCATGTTTTTATATTTTGCGTGTGAGTGTTAATAGAGCATAAACTATGTTCTGTTGAAGTTTTACTTGAAGTACTGTGTGGCGAGGCTCTTCTTTAGAGACATTGGGACGTACAAAACATCAAGATAATTTAAGGAAATTGTAGGACAATACCCAAGTTCAGCATGTGCTGAATTTAGCACTATATTCACTGTTGTGAACAGGAAGTGGCCCCAAACGCACATCAAGTCAGACTTAGCCACAAAGAGTAATCCCCCTTCATTCTAAGTTGGCATTACATGCTATTATCATGAAGTTGAAAACAAAGTTTCTCTTGGTTCATGACTTCTTTGCGCAAACACGTACACGGACACAAGGAAAAGAGGCAAACAACACGGGCGCAACTCACAACTAGTTTATTTTGAACGACGAACTGTACTTATATCTTCACGTAGCCCACACGCCCCCCCATCGGTGGATCCAGGAACAAACGAGATAACCTAAAGAAAGCTTATTCAGCGCTACGTCATGATAAGAACCACAAAACAACAAAAAATTGAAAAGTTCACGCATCTGCAGACGGATTGTTGCACGTGCCTTTCAAAAAGTCAAATTCTTTATCGGACATGGTGACGGAAGCTTGGCCAACACATTTTTCTCCCATGTTTCTAATATGGAATGCTTCAATCAACTCCCTGTTAATTTTTCTCTTGTGAGTTGACAGAATATTTGTGTCTGTAAAAATTGGTACGCACCCACAAGACTTGCAGTGATCCACCAGATGTGTTCGTCCTGAACTACGTAATGCCCAGTCGTGCTCCCTCAACCGTGTGTTTACACACCTTCCAGTTTGCCCGACATAAGATCTGCCACAGCTGAACGGAACCTGGTATACCACTGCTATTCTGCAAGACCGGTATTGTTGGCTGTGTTTCATCTGGCAGCTGTTCTTATTCTGCGTAGTGCCGGACTCCACCATGTTCCGAAGTCGTGGACACAACTTTGACAGTTTGTTGGGTGCTGTAAAAACCGAGGTTACTCCGTATCTCGCTGCTACGTTCTTCAGGCCATGGGACAACCTATGAACATATGGGAGAACTGCAAGATATAAGTACAGTTCGTCGTTCAAAATAAACTAGTTGTGAGTTGCACCCGTGTTGTTTGCCTCTTTTCCTTGTGTCCGTGTTTGCACAAAGAAGTCATGAATGAATACCAACTCGCCCAACTTTCAGTACTGTTGTTACAAATTTCTCGTGGTTGTTTGTGCTACATTTCTTGTAGGAGACATCTTTCTGTGCAGTGCTTAGTAAATTGTATTGTAAAAAGTTTGCAGTGACGCGGTATGGGATAAAATCGTGTGAATTAATCGGTGCTAACACATTCTCAGAAGTGGCTTCGCCAACTTCCAGCAAGTCACTATGTGGTATACTATTACGGTAAACGGAAGGCCGTATCCCGTGCAGCCTAATGTACCGGCACTATAAACAGTTCTTTAAAAAGAAAAAAGGAAACGCCGATCCTATCCACACACTTTTAGTCAACGGTGAGTTCGTTTCGATGCACCACTAAGCACGCAGCACCCTCTTGCACGCAGCACCCTCTTGAGGCGCTTGTAAATACACAGCGCGTGATGTGATTGTGTTGAACTGCTTGCCTAGATATACATCAAACATTGCGTAGGCAGCCAGCGCCGCTCCCACTTCTTCGCGTATCTGCCCATCACACAAGCGCCTCGAGAGGGGTAGCCGGGGTTAGTAGCACAAGGCACTCGACAGAAACATACTACGTTATGACATGCACGCTCACACGCGTTCTTTGACAGGAAGATCAACAAGATGCTCCTTTGGTAACGCAGCGTTCAGACAAGTGCGCGCTCGATCGAAACCCATGCTTCGATAGAGTCTTCACATACGCAAGGGTGCGCGCACGGAGTGATAGTTAAGAGGCGAGAACGCGTCAAGGCCAGCTGGCTTTCCTGGATTAAGGACCATACCAACGGCGAGCCATCAAAACATGGCTCGACGATCCACCTTCGTGGCGACGACGCCCAGCGTACAACTGGACGAAGCACTTACCATACAAATCGCCGAATGTGTTCCCGCAGCGCACGGAATACTTATCGCGCGGCACCACAGAACACCTGGCGGCACCTCGTACACACACAACTTGACGAACCGCACAAGTCTCCCGACAAAAACAAACATGCCAAGCCCCACGGTGCCAAGCCCCCGAATAATGGATTCATATCGGATTAGCTGTGCCCCGAAACTACAGCCATTGAAATGCTCAACAACATGGGCTTTGAGATTTAAAGCTGAGACCTAAAAGATAACGTTTGTATTATTAATCAGAGCATGTAATTAGGCTAAATAAGTCATATACAAACACTCTGTTACAAATGAGTTTGAACATAACCTGTTGCAAAAACATAAAAGTTGCAATGTGCCTAAATAATACTAAACTATGACAAGAATTTATAGAGTCTATAATTAATAAAGGAAAAGTTTAACTGCGCGTGTGTTGGCTCGTTAAAATGCTTCGTCTGCTCCGGAAGAGATCCGAGCCAAGCCAGCGCTTGTGAAAACAATATGGCAGAAAATGATCCGCCGGCAGCAGCCGCGCTTTTTTCGGCGCCCGAGATCGGGACACGCAAGCTGGGACCACGCTGTTTCTCCGAGGCAGATGGAGATGCTGCTGGATTTTGTGAACGAGCACCCATACCTGGTAAACGGCTTCAAGGAGAAGACAAAGCAAGTAGAGCCGTGGGAGCGCGAACAGCTCTGGGAGGAAGCGGCCTCCAAACTCAACGCCAAAGGACCAGCAGTGAAAACACGTTACGCCTGGCGAAAGTTTTGGTCCGGCCGGGCGCCGCAAATCAAGAGGACGGTAGCGCGGGTCGCCAAAATGAGGTGAGAGGATTGGCTGCCGAGGCAAAGCGAACTTTGCGTTCTGGTGTGTGCACTATGCGCTTTTGAAATTGCCTCCACGCAGGCTTGCCTCGTAACTGCCGAGACCCGGTCTTTCTGATTTTCCTTGATTTGTGTGTGCTTCGTGATTGTTCGATTTGGCTAATTGGGCTACCGTGTTGCGTTCGGGCTGGGCGAGTTCCGCAGTAATAGATCTCTACCGGGGTACGTCACAGCGTGACGTCACCGGTGCACGTACAAGGCGGTGGTTGGCAAAACATTCCCGCCGGTGGCTGAGTGGGGCTCAATCGCTCAGTGCTTGAGGCAATTTTTTTTTTTTTCCGTTTTGAAAGCCTAATCTTCTTCTCACAGTGGAAACATTAGCTGTGGTATGTGTCTGAGAAAATCTTGGTGTGTGATAAAGTGCGTGAGGAAATATTCGCCACGCTTCCTGGCTGCTCATCTCGGAGAAGTGAGCACACAGCGGCCTGCGCGAAGAACAGCGGCATCGTCTTCGAAAATGTGCAGTGTTGACTGTGGTGTTTAGTGTGCGTTGAAAGGCATTGATAATATTGCCACGTTCCATTTCCCAAGTTTTTGTTATCGTCCCAAAAACACCACACGATTCTCAGCGCAAACCGCGCCTGCAGTTTTCGAGAAGGTTCCGGACTGTAGTAGATCATTTCGATAATATCACGCCCACGGTGCGAATGGTACAGATTGTTCTGGAACCTACGCCACCACCAGCGATAACGCTAGAACATTCAACGGCAAGAGTATAAATGCCGACGCGCTTCACCGCTTGTCAGTTGTTGATCGAAGGCCGACGCTCCGTTCGCGGCTATCAGTCCGAGACTGCTATCTGTGCGAGACTGCTGCTGTAATTGGACTTTCCGTTTACCGGGCGCAGGTTCGCCCAAATAAACAGTTAAATCCCAACACGAAGTCTCCTGTCTTCGGCCACATCACGACCCCGTGACATCTGGTGGAGGTGCTGCTTCGTTCATGTACCGGACGCCCCCGTCAAGCTGTGAACCCAGCCCACGTCGCGGAGAAGACACCGACGCCAACCAGGAGCTGCGAACAAGCCGCCGACAGCAAGGGCTACCACCGGAGTACTACGGGCTTCTACAAGACAAGGCACGGAAGACCAAGGCCATGACCGCGACTGCAGCGACAATGACAACCGCAGCGTCCCAGCCCACGATAGTCATGCATCAACCCAGGGAACCACCAATTTTCCATGGGTCATCGTTCGAAGACCCGGAGTCCTGGCTAGAAACATACGACCATGTGGCCGCCCTCAACCATTGGGACCATGACGAAAAGCTGCGTCGTGTGTTCTTCTATTTGGAAGACACCGCAAGGACCTGGCTCGAAAATCGGGAGTCCACGCTCCCCGAACGTGGGATGTTTTCTGTGGCGCATTCCTGCAAATGTTCGCGAGCGTCGCTTGCAAAGAGAGGGCTGCTGCTTTATTAGAGACCCGGGTTCAACTACCAAATGAAAATGTCGCCATTTTCACAGGAGAAATGACCCGACTATTCCGTTACGCTGACCCAGACATGCCTGAGGAGAAAAAAGTTCGTTTCCTCATGCGAGGGGTCAAACAGGAGCTCTTCGCGGGACTGATAAGAAACCCACCAAAAACCGTCCAAGAATTTGTAGCCGAAGCGACCACTATCGAAAAGACCCTGGACATGCGCACCAGACAGTATAATCACCGATTGACTGCAGACTGCACTGCTGCTCAAGCCAGTAACTCCGGAGACCTGCGTGAAACGATCCGAGCGATCGTGCGGGAAGAGCTGCGCAAGCTGTTGCCTTCGGAGCAGCCTCAAGTGGATTCAATCGCCGACATTGTGCGAGAATAAGTTCGGCAATCGCTTCAAATTCCCCACGCACCGCTGCCCGAGCAGGAAGCTATGAGCTATGCCGCTGCACTGCGCCACAACGCTCCTCCCCGTCCACGCCACCGCCACCACCACCCCCACCGACGTCATACCGTTCGCCAGCGGCCCAGCGCAGTGCACCGAGGAAGAGTGACGTCTGGCGCACCCCTGACCATCGCCCGCTCTGCTACCACTGCGGCGAGGCCGGACACACATACCGCCGTTGCCAGTACCGACAGATGGGACTGCGTGGCTTCGCCGTCAATGCACCGCGCCCACAGCCAGAAGAACGACCACGCGACATCGCCGACTACCTGACAGGAACTCGGTGGACACCACGAAGCCCTTCGTGTTCGCCGTCGCCCAGCCGCCGCACGTCACCGCACCAACGGCAGTACTCTGGCCCAACGCAAGGCCGGTCTCCTAGCCCGTATCCGGGAAACTAAGGGCAGCAACCGGTGGAGGTGCGGTTGCTTGCCCGCACCGAAGATCCTCCGACGACGCGACGGAGCTTACCGAACACAACGCCAACCAGGCAAAGCCCTGACGGCGAAAGCTCACTTACCGAAGGTGGCCTGACGACGCAACATGGAAGCAGCGGAACAAGCCGACGCAGCCGTGACCCGACGCCACGCCCTAACTGTAATGCGAGACGGCGAACTAGCGACCTTGACGTTCTTATCGACGGCCACAGTGTGACCGCTCTCGTCTATACTTACGCCGACTATTCTGTCATCAGTGGGTCGTTCGCCGCGAAGTTAAAGAAAGTTAGGACAGCTTGGAAAGGCCCTGAAATCCACACAGCCGGAGGTCATCTCCTAACGCCTGCAGGAATCTGCACAGCGAGAGTCACCATTAATGGCCGTACTTATCCTACAGACTTCGTAGTCCTACAGCGTTGCTCAGGAGATGTCATCCTTGGCATGGACTTCTTATGCCTCCATGGTGCTGTCATCAACCTAAAAACAAAGTCGATAACGTTATCCACAGAAGAAGCACTACCGCCGCGCACGCCGTCAGGACACCATGCCTTGAATGTGCTGGAAGAACAAGTCACCATTCCGTCTCACTCAAACGTCATTATTTCAGTCAGCGCTCCTACATCACCTGACTTGGAAGGCGTCGTTGAAGGCAGTCAGCATCTGTTGGTCACCCGAAATATTTGCGTTGTAAGAGGAATTGCAGAGCTGCGGGGAGGCAAAGCAACGGTTATGCTCACGAATTTCAGCAATGAGTACAAACATGTGAACAAAGGAACAACGGTCGCATACATCGAAGAAATTGTCGAAGCCACCAGTGCTTTCGCCCTCGCCGATTCTGCGGAACTTGCTCAGAGGAACCAAGCCCCTCCCATAGCTTTCGACGTCAATCCCAGACTTCCGAACGATAAGCAAGAACAGCTCAAGGCCCTGCTCCTGCAATACGAAGATTGCTTGTCGTCGTCATCGAAAATTCGGCAGACCCCAATCACGAAACATCGCATCATAACCGAAGAAAATGCTAGACCACTCTCTCAGAGTCCGTACAGGGTTTCGACGCGAGAACGTGAGGCCATGAAGAGACAAGTTGATGAAATGCTGCGGGATGACATCATCCAACCGTTCAAGAGTCCATGGGCGTCCCTCGTGGTGTTAGTGAAGAAAAAGGAATGGGACCCTACGTTTCTGGAACGATTATCGCCACCTGAACAAAATCACAAGAAAGGACGTGTATCCTCTCCCACGAATAGACGACGCACTTGATCGGCTCCATAACGCCAAGTACTTTTCGTCAATGGACCTCAAGACTGGCTATTGGCAAATCGAAGTCGACGAAATAGACCGAGAGAAGACGGCATTTATAACACCGGACGACCTCTTCGAGATTGAGGGGATGCCCTTCGGCCTTTGCTCAGCGCCTGCAACGTTTCAACGCATTATGGATACAGTACTGGCAGGATTGAAGTGGCAGACTTCCCTTGTGTACTTGGACGTCGTCGTCGTGTTTTCCTCGAGTTTCGACGAGCATCTTCGGCACCTTGAAGCTATACTTCAAGTCATCAAGATGTCCGGACTCAGACTGAAGCCAGAAAAGTGCAGATTTGCGTACGAAGAGCTCTTGTTTCTGGGGCACGTGATTACCAATTCTGGAGTTCGTCCCAATCCACGGAAAACAGCCGCCATCGCCGACTTCCCGCCGCCCACTGACAAGAAGGCGGTGCGCCGATTTCTGGGCCTGTGCGCCTATTATAGGCGGTTCAGTGAAAAACTTCGCCCGCATCGCCGATCCTCTCACTAACCTTACCAAGGCCGACGTGGAGTTCAAGTGGGAAACACCACAGCAACACGCTTTCCAGGAGCTTAAACATCGCCTCCAGATGCCTCCGTTACTTGCCCATTTCGACAAATTCGCCGAGACAGAAATACATACTGATGTAAGCAGCGTAGGTCTTGGCACCTCTTGTGCAGAGGGCTGACGGACTTGAAAGGGTTATTAGTTACGCCAGGCCGATCGCTATCCAAAGCAGAAGCAAATTATTCCACAACAGAGAAGGAGTGCCTCGCCATCATCTGGGCTACGTCGAAATTTCGCCCCTATCTCTACGGCAGGCCCTTCAAAGTTGTGAGCGACCACCACGCCTTGTGTTGGCTAGCCACCTTGAAGGACCCTTCAGGTCGCCTCGCACCATGGAGCCTGAGACTTCAAGAATATGACATTACTGTCATTTACAAGTCCGGCAAAAAACACTCTGGCGCCGACTGTCTCTCTCGTGCGCCTGTCGACCAACCGCTACCCGACGACCCGGATGGACTACTACTTCTTGGGAACGATAACTACCGACGACTTCGCTGAACGACAGCGGGCCGGCCCGGAACTTAAGGCCCTAATAGAATACCTCGAAGGCAGGACCGCCGAAGTCCCGAAGGTATTCAAGCGCGCACTTGCGTCGTTATTTCTAGGAAACGGTCTTCTACAAAAGAAAAACTTTTCACCGGTTCGAGCTAAGTACCTCCTTGTGGTGCCTTCAGCTCTGCGACCAGAACTCCTGCAGGCCCTGCACGACGATCCGACGGCAGGGCACCTCGGTGTTTCTCGCACGCTCGTGAGGATACAAGAAAGGTACTACTGGCC